AGATTTTTTCATTATCCCACGTATTAGATTTTTTCATTATCTCATGTATTGTGTTTTATTATCCCATGTATTAGATTTTTTTCATTATCCCACGTATTAGATTTTTTCATCATCTCATATATTGTGTTTTATTATTCCATGTATTAGATTTTTTCATTATCCCACGTATTAGATTTTTTCTATTATCTCATGTATTGTGTTTTATTATCCCATGTATTAGATTTTTCTTTATCTCATATATTGTGTTTTATTATCCCATGTATTAGATTTTTTCATCATCTCATATATTGTGTTTTATTATCCCATGTATTAGATTTTTTTCATTATCCCACGTATTAGATTTTTTCATTATCTTATGTATTGTGTTTTATTATCGCATGTATTAGATTTTTTCATTATCCCATGTATTAGATTTTTTCATTATCCCACGTATTGTGTTTTATTATCTCATGTATTAGATTTTTTTCATTATCGCATGTATTAGATTTTTTCATTATTTCATGTATTGTTTTTTATTATCCCATGTATTAGATTTTTTTCATTATCCCACGTATTAGATTTTTTTCATTATCTCATGTATTGTGTTTTATTATCGCATGTATTAGATTTTTTCATCATCTCATATATTGTGTTTTGTTTTTAATTTTAAAAGTGTTTTCCTTTATTAAGTTAAGAAATGGAGTGTATATAATGATACAACAAGTGCTAGTAATCATAGTTCTAATCCAGAAAATTGTTTTTCTAAAGACAACGTATGAAAAATTTTCGATTTTGTTTCTTTTAATGTTCGCTTAAAGAGTTTATTTATTTTTAAGACTCTCCATTCCTGTTACTACTGTGGAGGAAATAACTTATCGAACAGCTGATGTTGACAATGATTAACGTGACGTTTACTTTTAAAAATTAAACAAACTATTTTTATATGTGAAAGGAAATGCTGGCCGTAGTTCAAGACACAAGCGTGATGACTGAGAGGGATCGAATAGCTCGAGATGAAGACTTCTACCGGCAAGATGTTGTGCAGGTGGAAAGAGATTTATCGTAAGTTAACAAAGGACTTTGAAACAAGCATAAACGTAACGTTTGGATGATCAATAATATTATATATGTACTTCACTGTGATTACAGGCCAATTCCGTACATTTAAGTGATGTTGGGGATAGTGTCTTCCTTTAGAACAGTCCTATTAACAAGTTTTCTTTAAACCTAATGAATTTAGGCTCAAAAACCAAGATCGTATCGGGGATAATTTATCCTCTAGAATTGTCCTTTTAGCAATTACTTGAAGCATACTGATTTTCGGAATAAAAATTTTAGTTATAAGCCCTCAGATTTACCACTGGGATACCAGGAGTCTCTCCAATTTGCAGTTGTCTGTATGTCATAGTAGAGTTAATATAATTTATGTTTGACATTTATTAAAGAGTTTGGAAGATGCTTACAGCTTACCGTTCTTTTATATTATCTGGTTCTTCAAATACAGGAAACGAAACAAGGTTAAACTTGATGTATATAAATTAATAGCGAATTAAATAAAGAAGCTTTTTCTTATGATTTCGGGCACATAAAGCATCCTCTCCGACCTTGTTCTGGGCAATAATTGTAGATACCATTGTGAAATTATATAAAGCAACAAGTTTTTCCTTGACCCATCAAATTACTGATGGCGTTCATATCGGCTTTATTATAAATATGTTTTCAAAATATTTATGTATCATATTGCTGTTTGTGATGTATGTCTTTGTTGGTTACAGGACTCCTAATAAGATATGAGTTTTAATTTGTGGTCCATGTCTTTGTTGGTTACAGGACTCCTAATAAGATGTGAGTTTGAATTTGTGGTCCATGTCTTTGTTGGTTACAGGACTCCTAATAAGATGTAAGTTTGAATTTGTCGTCCATGTCTTTGTTGGTTACAGGACTCCTAATAAGATGTGAGTTTTAA